GCTAAGTGGCCCCATACACAAACAAAAAGTTCCATAGTAATCATTTTTCAATTCCCTGCCCTCTTTTCTTTTCTACATGAAATGTCAGTTTCTGCTCATTTAACACCATTTCTCCCTTGTTAATGAATGAAGATACATGCTTTTCCTGCAGTACAGATTTACTACATGTAAATAGCCAATTTATAGGTGATAGGTTTACCATTCATTCCTAATCAGAAACAGATCTCAATGTCTAACCTTTCCTTTATGACACCTGCACACTGGAATCACTATAAAAATATTTTTATTATATAGTATTACATAATTACTTAATAATATATTATCAATAATAAATTATTTAATAATAAATTATTTCTAATATTTATTATATAATATATTGTATTATATAATTTGAGCATTATAATTGTATACAACTTGAAAAAAATAGAAAAGTAGAAAAAAGAATATCAGCCACACTTCCATTACACAGAGATGATCACTGTCAACATTTTAGCATATTCATTTACTATTTATTTGCTTTTTTAAAATTTCTTTGTTATTATTGTTTTCTAGATGATCACAAAGTAAATAAAATGTAAGACTGGAAGTAGCTTCTGGAGCATCCCTAACAGTGTAGAATAAGCTCAGCATAAAATAATCTATTTTGTAGAGCTGTAATCCAGCAAACTGTTAAGCTTGGTACCTGCTAAAATCATCTTTATAGTAATTATCTTTCCCATTTATTGTATTCTTTCTCAGCTTTTGGCCCAATAGATAGCATATACCATTTCTATTCCCATTTTTCTGTGTGTTTGCATATGTATCTTTGTGTTTGTATATGGATATATGTGTATGTATGTGTTTAAGCTTGGTGTGTTGACACAAAAAGATAAATTATCATATTTTATTGATTCTAAGATGCATATTTTTCTACATTTTAACATTGTTTAAACCATGATGAAGCTTACAGCTGGTAGTGTGTAATAGTGCAGTTGTGTAGTTTTTTCCCTTTCTTTACAAGCAGTGCATAAAATAACTGTGCATCTTAAAATCAATAGCAACTTAGATTCTACATAAATTATATTTTGTAGATTTGAGGAGCTATGAGCAATTACTAGTTCTATATAGTACCCTTCTACTTTTGTGGGTATGAGAAGAGGAAAAAAAAGCAATAAATAGTAAAAAAATACATTGCAGTAAGGTCCATATTTTGTTAAAAAATATTTAGGCACTTTTAAACACCTATGTAGAAATATAAATTTATATAATTAGAAAATAAAAATCTTTATATTTTTCTTCACTATGAAATGATGGGAAAAAAGAATTTGGTATTTAAAGGAAAGATTTGTTAATCAATTCCCTAAAAGAGTCTCAGAAGACAAAAAATAATTGACTTACCAGGTCACTAAGTGGTTCATAAAGCCTAATTTGATCGGTAACATAAAAACCTAAATAAGAATGTAAACTGGGAACATTAAGACAGCACAGTAAAGATTCAAAGTGAGTATAAAATTCAAAAGTTTACTGTATAAGTTTTAAAGAAAATTCACATAAGCCACTCCGCATATAAAACTGACTTTGAAGCGCTACCTTACAGTTTAGCAGTCATACTAGATGATGGCAGTTCCTGGCAGAAAATAAATGGATCCTGAATTTTGAAACCTATCATAGATCCTCTAAATGGAAACTGCCCAACTTATTATTAATGGCAAGATCAAGACAGAATGCATTTGGTTATTAAAGTCCCTTTGGAAAATGAACAGACGTCAGGTTAGTGTTTTTGGTTTTTTTTTATTCTATCTTAAATTTTTTGTGATTATAATCTAGACCCCAAAACTCACATGTACAACTACTTCAAAACCTTTATATTTTCTTTCATTGTAGATATCCAAGTCTGGATTTTGAATAGGTGAGTGCCTATGTTTATCTAGAATAAATATGTTACTTGAAAACAGTCAAACTTATCTCTTCAGGAGGGGCAAAAAAATTTAATTTCCTCACCTTTGAAGATTGAACAAAATGATAATCAAGGACTTAGAAAATTTTAGAGTTAAAATGTCCTTAAGAAACCATCTGCTTCATTAATTTACTTCTGCTGTTGTTTATGCTAGAGTGACTCAATAATAGTCTTCCTGCTTAGAGTTAAAATGATATGAGGAGAAATGGATTAGTTTACATATGTGGTATAATTCATGTTTTAAAGAGTAATGGCCTTATAAAGGCACCCCAACTGATGATAATTTATCACTTTATTAAAACCTTTTAAATGTTAACTATATATAATACAACATCCTTAATAATTCACTTCAAATTTTAACCCACTATCAAAATATTATTTCTAGTGTTAGAAACCTCAATATTGATCTGGGTCAAGGTGAGTTGTTTTTGATGATCTGTGTAGGTAGTGATTAAAATTAGGGCAATCAAAGTGAGATAGACAAACAGTCATGAATAGACATCCTCTGAATAGAAGCAGGTATATGGGATAATACAAGCCAGTGCACCAGATCCTATCCTGTCAGAAGCAGCATGCCAGATACCTTCTGATTCAGAAGTCACAAAAACAATTTCAGGTAGAAATTGTCTAATGCCTGGAACAATCTAGTTAGTAGTGAAATTCTCTCTGATGGCATCTGTGCTGGTCAACTGTCTGTTTTCTCTCAAACAAATCCCCTGCCTTCTTTTTGCCCTGTTCCACATTATAGGGAAACTCTCTTGGTTTCTGAGTAGATCTGTTCAGTAGCAAAATTGTCAGAATACTGGGTTGCCAAAGGAAGACAGAATCTAGGGTACATCTCTCCGCCACCCACCATGGTTTCGGAGAGCCGCATTTTTTCTTCTAGGTTTTACCTGGTGTTCCAGGCTCCTGGCCTATATCAGAGGCTCATCCTTTGTTATTTTTAGTCAAGGAACTATAGCCCCAGATGTACCAAACTAATTTGTCCTCACTTTGAAAAAGCCTTGATTTTGTAATGGGGCCAAGTTTACTATAGGTTGCGTTTTACATGAAAAGAAGGTTGAATTTGCTCCCTCTCATCAGAAAACTCTTCAGAAATAAGTAACTTTAGACAGGGCATTGTTATGAAGACATGACTAACATATGTAAAGAAGTTTTTAACTTATATATAATTATGTCTACGTTTATTAACTGCAACTTACTATGGACTAATACATTTTAAGTACAAAATACTAAAAACTGAAATAGATGTATAAACCATGTTATTTCATCACACACATTTGCTATGAAACATCTATAGGTGCTTGCTGAGAATAAAAAAAAAATAGCAATTTCCTCTGTCTTTTTTTCTGTTTCTCAAGTAAGACTAATTGCTTATAGGGTATTTCTTTTATTTCTGAACATAGGTGATGACTTTGGAAGCTCATGGAGATAGAAGTGATATAATCATTTCATATCCTAGGCTGTGGGTTGATGACAGTCCATAGCACACACATTGGAAAAGTTTACACAATAGTAGGGCTCGATTACAATATATCTCTCTTAGACTGTTAGAAAAATCATCTTACATAAAACCATTGTTGGTGACAGGAGACTTTTTATATTTTCACAATGTTTATAGACCTAGTGAAAGACCTAAGTAAAACTTAATATTCTTTATGTGATTACAGTTCTTGAATTTTGACACAGAATATCACTTTTCTAAAATGTCTTCTCATATATTCTTCCCATAGTATTCTCACTCTTTCTTTCATAATTTTCAGAATTTTTCTATTACATGAGCCATTGTATCAAGATACTCTAATCTTTATTTAAATATCTGTAAGGCAGAAGTTCGTAAAAATATATATATATCGAGTTAATTTTTTTTTTCATTTTTTTTCCAAATTGTTTTATCTTATTTTTTCTTTTATGGTCTGTTCATCTGGGGTTCACTTGCCATCAGATAGCTTCTTGCTTTCTGCACAGCCTATTTGCCTTCATTGGCTACAGCATGCCTCAAAATTCTATTTTTGGTCAATGCTGAATGTTTAGTAAATCCCCTTTGCATTTGCTGACCCACATCTTAACCTTTGGCAAAGCCACTAAAGTTTTCTTATACTGATTTCTCAATAGCTACCAACGTACCTGCAATATTGGTTTGCTAATAATATCAAGCAGTTTAGCTCTGCTATTAAAGAGTACCAGCGTCCCTTCACTGACAAGAATTCCCAAAGGCACTAAATACTACCATTGGGTTGAACCTATTTCTCTGCTTTGCCTTAAGGAAAAGGGTGTCCCTTTTGTTTTCCTAGTTGCATTTTTATCTTCTGTTTTTGAAAGTACTTACTCTCATTGATAGACCAGCCTATTTGTCTGGTTTAAACATGTAAGTATTTTATTTTCTGGCTTTTTAGTAATATTCTTTCTTTTGCAAAAACTTCTAACTCATCTAGAACTCATGCTTCAATTTATGAGAAAACTTTATTATTAAGTAATACCATCTTTTTCTGGGCTCATTCTCTGAAGCTTAGTTATAACTTTCTACATCTGAATTCCTGCACTTTAAATTGTGATTATGTTACACCATTCAGAACTTTTTTAGTCAAGAAAAGAAACTCTTCCTTAGCTTTAGTATTTGTGTTGGACAATGAATAAGGATTTTACTCATCAGAATTTTTTTAAAAATTTGAACATTCATGAACAAATGATATGTAAACCATAGTCTTTTTAATGTATATTGTTAACAGATTTTCAGAAGTTAAATTGTTAAATAGTGTTTTTTTTTTGTTTTTTTTTTTTTTACGTACTAGTTTTCTCATATAAAGCGTAATCATAGAACTTTCCTTTAGCAAATGTATCTGCATTTTTATTTATTGGAGAAAGGTCTCCGTATAGCAGATGCTTAGAGATTGGTTAAGCATTTTTGTGGAACTGAAATACATAAATTTTACAATGTACTACTTTTATTCATTCAGATTACTGTTTTACATAAACATACCCCAAGACTAACCTATAAACAATAATATGAAAGTCTCAGATTAACTATTACATATGACCTGCCATGTTTTCTTCATGTTTTTAGACTATTACGGCCCCTCCTGGTGTCTGACCCCAGCAGACAGAGGACTGTGTCATGCCAACGAGAGCAGATTCTACTACAATTCAATTATTGGGAAATGCCGCCCATTTAAGTACAGTGGATGTGGAGGGAACGAGAACAATTTTACCTCTAAAAATGCATGTCTTAAGGCTTGTAAAAAAGGTATAGAAGACATTCTGCTCATTAATTCACTAGTGTTTAAGAAAGTGATTGTAATTATAAATGAATTTTAATCTATGAAAAATATCATGGAATTATTTCTATTTATTATAAGAAACAAAATGTTTAGCTAATTAATGCCCCCTTTTCAACTACATTTAGATAATATTGCTGGATATGTTAGCTGCAATTCCTCTTAATTTGTCTTCATAGGAAAATAATTTTAAACATATCAGTTTATTCTTTTAATATTTACTTTTAATATTTACTAAGCTTTCATTTTAAGAGATTATACCAAGATATATTTAAGCTTTCTTGTAATGCATGAAATTATGTATTAATTTTCTTCTGAATATGAAAATGATGTATGTTTACAGAATAGCAACATGTAAATTCCACCAATCATATACAGCCAAGTGTTCATATTTTTGATAAAATGATCATGAATTCCTCACTAAAAATAATAAAAATCAACAACATGTTCATCCGTTTTTGCTAACTCATATGTGCAAAGTGACTTTCTTAGAAATGGGTTGCTCTGTACAAAGACATAAACAAATTAAAGCCTTTTAAACATTAAAAGATAAAGCAAGGAAATTTTAAATGAAATAACACAATAAAACATTTTATCATGCATAAATTTGTTTCTCTTCCTTTTACAGGTTTCATCCAAAGAATATCAAAAGGAGGGTTAATTAAAACCAAAAGAAAAAAAAAGAAGTCAGTGAAAATAGTATACGAAAAAGTTTTTGTTAAAAAGATATAAATGTGTTATATTATTACAACATTAATTCTACTAAATATTTAGATGAAGCTTTTCACCATGATTTTTATTTTTCTTTCCTAAATTTTTTTAAATTAATATTTTCATGAATTTCCTATGCATATATTACCTGCTATTAATACATTTGCATCAACGTTCCTTTTCTAATCTAGTAAAATTGCTTATTCTAGGGCTATAATTTATTAACTGATCACTATGAATTTATATATTTTCTTGATCCTTTCCTAACTATTTACCATTTCACTGCAAATTATCAGACTGCTAACCACATCAAATCAGTTCGTTTTTGCATTTGGTGATCATCTATTTGATAATATATAGTCACTCACTTGTTTTGATCACATATTTGATGATCTCCTTTATAGACTATGCCCAGATTTAAAAATACAGCTATTTGAAAACAAGCACTTTGGGGTTTTCGCATCTAAAATGGTGATAACATTTTTCTGATAAAGATCACCCAATTATGTATTTGGAAAGAGTTGAGAATAGCAGAATTCTATCACATGCCTCTCTCCTTAGGCGTACTTTTTTCCTTTTGCATTAACCACTTCTTCAATGGATCTTGAGCCAAACCATATTTGAACAAAGAATCAATTCTGTGTCATGTGCCTGTCTGCTTTTGCTGTATTTAGCTTTTTTGTTTGTTTGCTAATAGTCTGCTATATCAATAAAGATGGTTGAATAATTGTGTGTTAAATACAGATCATGATAAGAAGAAACTTAGTGGGAAAGGGAAGTTTTTAATGACAATTTAAAGGAAATTCTGTTTATGTACTTTCTAATCTTTTTGTTTGAAAAATTTTCTCTTACCAAAAACATCAAGAAGATTTAAACTCCCTGAAATCTATTCATTTATCATTAGGCTTCGCATACAATGCAACCAGTAATTCATGCTTAAAAGAAAAAAAAAAAGGCATGTTATTTCTATAGAAGGGGAAAAGAAAATTATCAGAAAGAAAAATTCTACTAGAAAATTCATGCACTGTTCACTGTCAGGGTTTTTAACCAACATTTCTCTGGAGTTAATCCACTGTATCCAGATCTATACTTTTCCTTCTCAGTTGAGCCATGTGCAGTCTGACATTCAACAGCCTCATAGACATTTCAGTTTCTATACTGTTCACCTAAAATTTCACATTTTAAACTTGTCATCTGGAAACAACTAACCACTTCACCCATTTAGTTTAGCTTAATAACTACTCTCTAGCAACAGTATTATAATTCTCCCTATTCCCTCATATACTACATCTAATCAGTCTCCAAACACTATTGTTTCCTTTTACGTGAAGTTCATCCAACTCCCAGGCTTTTTACTTCTACTGTAGTCTTCACTTCAGTATTGATAATTCCTAAGAATTAATTCAGTATATTTCTCTACCACTCAAAATCCTTCAAGGACTATTTGACACTTAACCCCACCCCACACCCTACAATTTAATATATATTTAGACTATTTGGATTTACCTACACCACCATCTTTCATGACTTTTTCAATTTGGTTAAAGGGTATTCACTATTCACTGACCATATCTTTAATTACTAAGCTTATTCATGTTGATCTCCTATTTAAAAATCTGATCTCCTCCAGACCATTCATCTGAAGTCAGGGTCCAGCTGATGTGAGCTACATGATCACTATGTTTTAAGACAAACTATGAAAAGTCCTAACATACAGTTACTAATTATTTTCATCCTATGGCATAAAAATTATATCATTACAAAATAATGTCAACTTGTTCACTTAAGAAAAATTTTACATCTTGATTTCAAATAGTAAACTGCGTCTTTGCTCTGGAACTTGAAACTTTCAGAAATCAAAATCCCTTGTGAACTATGTTCTCTTGCCATGTATACATGGATGGCAACAGCTTTAAGTAACAGAAAGGTCTCCTAAGGTTGAGAGGCAAGGTGTCATCAAGGATGTATAAACAGCACCTTGGTGAGTTGATTAATTGTTTTCCCAAACAACCATTCAAAGTTCACTAATTAGTCAATAAGACATACATTGAGATGGTTTACAATGTTTAATGCATGTGAATATCATTTTTACTGTGCTTTTAAATAATAAGCCCTCTGGTGGTATTGTCTTGCTTTGTTTTGCATACTCAAATGCATCTAGCTGTAAATTTATATAGAATTACATTACGGCATGTATGTGTATTTACCTACTTTGTTTGTTCTCTATTCAAAGTTAAAAGATCATGCTGAAAACTGCTCAAATGATTTTATATGATTTTATTTTTTACATCATAAAAAATAAAATATATTATCTTGAATAATAAAATGTAATTATTGTACCTATGAAATTTCTACTTCAGAAAAATTTACTGTTCTTTAGTTATCATACAGATAAAAAGTCCAAACATAATTTGTACCTTCTTTAATTAGAATTTGCTAATAATTCCCATTCAATTACAAATGTGCATCTATGTATTATGATTTCTTATTTGTGAAATTAGTATACTGTCTTATTATATATATATTCTACATTAACTCTATTCCTTAGGCAATTCTACCAGTCATCTCATATATAATTGCATAAATATGAAATACATATTTAAGTATATATCATATAACTATACCTTATATAAAAGACTTTCAATCCTGACTATTAAAGTGAGCCTGGCTCATCTCTATACTAAAAAAAAGGAAGAAAATGACACTAAAGTAGCCCTGTTTAGGAGACTTACTGAAATTTTTTTTATCAGTTGTACCTGCTTTTCTACGATTTTTATGAAATTCACATTTGTAATTAGCTTTTTCAACTTTTGACTTTCAATTCTTTCTCAAGAACTTTAGCATAGGTCTACCTTACTTGTTTTTCCTATATGCTGCTATGCAGAACAGGAAACTGATCTTATCAGTCTCTCAGGCCCATTCTCTGAACTACTCTAATCAAATAGGTGGTTCAGACCACTTTTAAAGGGTACAGTAATATCTTGTATTCATTTTAAGAGGGAGAGGGAAGAGGAAGAAGGGAAAAGGGAGGAGTTATTCAGACCACTTTTAAAGGGTACAGTAATATCTTGTAATTCATTTTAAGAGGGAGAGGGAAGAGGAAGGGAAAAGGGAGGAGTTTGCAGGCATTTAATCATATAATACTATGAAATAGAGCATCAGGACAGTGAATATAATTTCATCATCAATTTGCTCACAGATGAGAAAATATCTGGCTCAAACAGTCTAAAACAAAACAAAGATATACTTGAGCACAGAACTGAAAAAGGCCAGAGGTTTTCAACTTCAGTATGGATAGATTCAGGGCCTCATATTGTCACCAAAACTCGTTTATCTTCACCCTTGATTCTGCTTCCCAACATTTTCTGCCTTTACTAATTTCACAAGATTTCAAGATACTTCTTGAATTTAAGGCACATATCCTTTCAGGGGAATATTTTCTAGAAAAGGTTGTACTTTCTTACCTCAAAGAATTGAAGACCTGGCCTCAGGCATAATCCATAATCCATGACAGAAATAATTGATTGGCTGGACTTCATTAAATTAAAAACTTCTGCTCTGCAAAAGACAATATCAAGAGATTGGAAGACAAACCACAGATGGGGAGAAAATATTTGCAAAAGACACATCTGATAAAGAACTATTATCCAAAATATACAAAACAAAAAACGAAAAACAAAAAAACAAAACACGTAAAAGTCAATAATAAAAAAAAAAAGCTATTAAAAAGTGTGTTAAAGTCCTTAACAGACACCTCACCAAAGAAGATACACAGATGGCAAATAAGCATATGAAAAGATGCTCCATCCATATCATTTGTCAACAGGAAAATGCAAATTAAAACAATGAGAGCTACTACTACACACCTATGTTTAAAATCAGGTAAACTGACACCACAAATGCTGGTGAAAATGTGAAGCAAGAGCAACTCATTTATTGCTGGTGGGAATGTAAAATGGTGCAGCCACTTTGGAAGATAGTTTGGCAGTTTCTCACAAAACTAAATATACTCTTACTATACCATCCAGCAATCACACTCCTTGGTATTTACCTGAAAGATTTGAAAGTTTATATCTACATAAAAACCTGAATGTTTATAGCAACTTTATTCATAATTGCCCAACCTTGGAAGCAACCAAAATGTTCTTCAGTGAGTGAATGAGTAAATAAACTGTGATATATCTAGACAATGGAATAGTATTCAGTGTCAAAAAGAAATGAGCAACCTAGCCATGAAAAGACATGGAATCTTAATGTACATTATTAAGTGAAAGGAGCCAATTTGGAAAGGCTACATATTGTATGACTTCAACTATATGACATTCTGGAAAAGGCAAAGCTATGGAGACAATAAAAGATCAGTAATTGCCAAGGACTTGGGTAAAGGGGATAAATAAGTGGAACACAAAAGAGTTTCAGGGGCAGTGAAAATACTCAATATCATACTATGGTGCTGGATAAATGTCATACTTTTGTCCAAACCCACAGAGTGTACAACAGCAAAACGAACTCTAATGTGAACTATGAACTTTGTGAGATCATGATGTGTCAATGTATGTTTATCAACTGTAACAACTGTAGCACTCTAGTGGCAGGTGTTCATAACGGGAGAGGCTATGCATATGTGTCATGGTAGAGGATATATGGGAAAACTCCATTCTTTCTCTTCAATTTACTATGAACCTAAACTGCTCTAAAAATATTGTTATAATTTTTTTAAAATCCTGATCGCAATATCTATGACCCAAATATCTTTTGGCCAGCTTTGACCCAAACATAATGTTTTGAGGAATGTGACTTTTGGATTGACCAGTTTGATTCACAAATCCATTCCCAGATATACAATTAGTATAAGCACTATCTGAAATTTGTAATCTGGCTGGGCTGGGACTAGAGTGAGGCAAGTGAGGTACTTGCCTTGGGCACAAAATTTGAGGGGACATAAAAAATTTGAATAACTGAGATAATATTGTACTGCAGTATTTTTTTTAAATCAATAATAAAACAAAATCCATAATGAA